GATTTTCTATTTCATGTGTTTGATATATCAAAGAAAGAGAAACAGCATGAATAATTAATAGAAATGGTTTAACCCAAAATGAGGTCATACCGTAATTATAGATTTAGGGAGATGGCAGAAGCATTACAAAAAATCATTCCCACCAAACACCGTAGTCCCGAAATCCATATCTATCTATCTATCTATCTATCTATCTATCTATCTATCTATCTATCTATCTATCTATCTTTATCTATCTATCTATCTATCTATCTATCTATCTATCTATCTATCTATCATTATCATCACCTCAGTTTATATGGCTGCTTGTCTCAAATTCATGAGTGACTAACAATAATTAAAACAGCATAAAAAAGAAAGAAACAGCAACATATATATGATCTACAGCCAGGGTAAAAACAAACTCACGAATAACAAATCAATACAACCATTGCATAGGCTCAGCCACACTTCCAGATTCTCAGGCACAATAACACAACCTTGTTTTTAAGGCCTTGAGAAAAGCCAGCGTTAGCTGCCATACAGTAGATAGAATAGTGGATGAGTGAAAAGCTGAAAAATACAACATAATTGATTGACTGATTCATTCATTCATTCTAGAATGTCATGAAAGACATACTGATCCCCTCCTGCAGGTGAATGTAAGGTAAAGTGAATTACTAAATAGATCAGCATTGAGGGGTTGTAGAAGGACTATCTGTTTCTCCAAACAGAAGAAGATTCATACTGAAAACCAAACTCGCATTTAGGAATCTGCTTTAATGGACAAGTGAAGCATGTGAGATTGCTATGAGTACAAACAGTTAAGCAGAAATCTTAGCTTTAACATGAACAGAAATTCTTTGTGGTCTGGCCCAATGATATAATTAAATGGTAAAATACTTATCTTTTCAGCTTTTTTCTGTGACTTTGGAGAAATCAGTAATGGTCAGATTTGAACTATCAACTGAGCATTAAGAAAGGAGTGCAGTGACAGTGTGACATTGCAACAGGATTGCAAGATGACCTGGTACATCTTTTTGATGCCACAGTCACCATTATTGGCAGGTATCAAGTAACGGCTTCAGACAAAAACTATTGTATAGCTTAAATTTGTACATAAAAGAACAGTGGAGTGAAAAAGGAAGCAGGACTGAAGATCCACCTACAGTATATAATATAGTTATTTAAAATGTGTATATAGGCATGTATGTATGACAGATAAATTCCATTATATTTTGTAGTCAAAATGCTTTTGGCTAAAATTATAGTTTTAAGTTTATTCCATTTTTTTTTTAGATTTTTTTATCCTGCCCATTATTTGTTATAAATAACTCAAGGTGGTGAACTTACATAATACTCCTTCCTCCTCCTATTTTCCCCACAACAGCAACCCTGTGAGATGGGTTGGGCTGAGAGGGAGTGACTGGCCCAAAGTCACCCAGCCAGCTGTCATGCCTAAGGTGGGACTAGAACTCACCGTCTCCTGGTTTCAAGGCCAGCACCTTCACCACTACACCAAACTGGCTCCTTTTTGTGAAATTGTGAAATCATTAACTTCACAATGGCCACTCATGCTTCAAAAAGCCAACAACCTGAATATTAATCACTTAATAACTGTGCAACATAACGACTGAGTTGCCGGTCCCAATGGTGGTCGCTAAACAAGGACTACCTGTACTGCAAATATGTTGCCTTTCTGTCTGTATGTGTCTGGTTGCAAGAACTCACCCATTTCAGGCATTCTTGATCATACCTCGCAGGCAAGTACTAAATGCAATCATTCTTTTTTGTAGCCAGAGAAAAGGGGAGGCAGAAACTCCCGGAGCCAAAATACGGTCAGCCCAAAGCATAGGCTCCCCACATTGTATTGCCCCAGTGGGCAAGGATGGATTGACTCCACCCCTGAGAAAAAAAGCTCTTTTCCAGCATTGCAAGGGAAAGTATGCCGTGTATAAAGGAGGCACAAGACCCATAGGGCTTGTCAGCCCTATCCCCTTGCCCCAGGTTGGGCAAGCAACTGTTTCTGGAGGGCAGAAGTGGGCCCTCCTCTATTTACAGTATCCTCCCCACACTTCCAGAGTGACTTCGGGGCACATTTTTGTGCTTTTCTTCTGAAGTCCATTTGTCTATGTTGTATCACCTCGAGCAAGACTGGTCATGGGGGATAGTGCAGATCATTGACTATTTTGCAGGGGAAGAAATGCCGCCATCTTCTCAAGCTCTCTGATGTCTCCTGTAGTTGCCTTTTATTGTGAATTCAGTAATAGCATAAAATTGTCTTGTAAATAGAAGGTTCTAGATCAAAACCTGCCATTAAAGGTTTAAAGCTGTTTTTCTTTCCCTGAGCTTCCTCCTTTTCCCTGTGCTTAAAAAAACAACACAGAACCAACTTTATTAAGGTCAATGACCAGGGCAAAAAACAAAAGAAAGCACCCACAGTGGCCCACTGATTCATTGCTTTTTTGGTCACATGAGGTAGGAAAGTTTCACGCGTACACACATACAGAGTTCCCAAAAAGGTCATAGGTTATTTGGGCTATTTGAGAGCTGAGGGTGAAACCCTTCTCCCACAGGTGACTATCAATAAACCCACTGATGTTTTAGAAAGAAAGTGTACCACTGAGAAGTTAGCAAGAAATTCACCTTTAACTATACCGACTTCTGTTTTAGCTGTTAAATTAAAATAATTTACTATTCTATGTGAGTTTTTATTTAGTTTTCAACTGATGAACTGCAGCTTCTGTAGACTACTGCATAAATTACAGTATGAATCTTACAAATGCCAGATAACCTGGCCTCCCTATTTTTTTCATGCCCCCCCCCCAAACTTTACCCTTGCTATGGGCTTGCTGTCCTTCCTTCCTTCCTTCCTTCCTTCCTTCC